GGAGTAGAGAAAATGGCAAACCAATCCAAATGTTTATAAACCAAGAATTCCTCTGGGACTCTGTCCCCTGACTTTACGGGTTTTTTTAAAACATAAAGCCTCAAGCTTTGTTCATGCTTGAGTTATGTAGTTTGCATAAGCCATGCAATTTAACTTTAACCCACAGATATGAGGATAAAATGAGCTCAGACTGCAGAACAACAACACTGTGAGCAAATAAGAAGGTTAATCAAAGTAAAAGACTCACCCCTCACTGCTGGCTCTGTCCTACTCCAGCCTGCTCCTGCCAGATATTTAGCGATCCTCATACTTGTCGTCAAAGTGTCAGAAACAGGTTAAAATTTTCATTATGCGAAAGAGATTTGTCTTTTAAATTAATGTTTGTGTGTATGCCCTGAGGAGGTTGCAATTTTTAAAAATCATAAGTGAATGCATACTCTTGCCACTTGCAATCATGACAAAGCTTAAGTAATTCAGGCATGAGCATGGTATTTTAAAAGTGCAAAACAGGATTTACTAGTCGAGAATGTCTGCCTAAACAAGCTCATCAATCTGAATGCTTTCAGCTACAGTTCAAATATATTTAACACAAGCAGGTTTAGTAAATGGGCCACGTTTGCTCATTGTTTTTGAACATCACAGAATAAAACAATACATGGCTTTTCAGCTCATTTTGACAGAGGGTGGAGAGAGAACCCCACAGGAAAGTTTGGAAACTGCTTGCCCTGGTATCCGGTCTGGTAGGGGACCTACCCACATTCACCACGCTGCCCCTGTGAAAAGGACAGGACGCTATCACCTCACCTCCTGGGAGCCTGATATGGATTGCTGTCTCTGTCACCATCATTTATTATCAGAGACAGGAGAGGCAGCCACTCAGTTTTGTGAGGTCAGAGGTGATTCCATATTGTGGATATTTAGCCTCCATAATAATAATTTGTGAGTTTTTTTAACATGAATGTCGAGCTTTCAAATGAATATCTGAACAGACACTAATAGCATCAAATGCCTAGGTGTTTGCTTCAACCTCTTCTGACCCCACTCTAAGGACCCTGCCTTACAGATGACCTTATATTAAATCGGTACCATGTAACTCAGCATGATAGCCTAGTTCTCAACCCCCATGGTAAAGGAAGAATTAGCCTAAGTACACGCCATTCTAATTTTCTGTCGCTGTCAATGCCAACCAGAGCTCATAGAGCAATGATGTGGGGGTGGGGAAGATGGTTCCACCATTGGGTTAGACTGGGAGCTACTGTTTCCGTTAGAGCCACGTTTATTTCTGGAGTACTTGTTGGGGAGAGATGTGCTCTAAAGAGAAGAGGACTCGTTGTGGTTCAGGTATGACCGACCATCTGGACGACTCAACTCAGAGACTCTGAAGTGGACTGGATAGAGGTGGGCTGAGTGCTTTCCACACCGTGAGCTAAAAATCACTTGGGTTCTGGGAAAGGCACTAGAATGAGAGCTAGAAACAAAAGATACGGTTGTGAAAACTGGTACCTAAGTTAAGATGTTTGAGTACATTTTCTCCTTTAAAAAATTCTGAGGAACTTGAATGTTTTGCTAACCCAATTGTTTTTAGCCAGTCCTCATAGAAAATAGAGGTGCTGGAAAACTAGCAACCCCAGAAAATTTTAATTCATTTTTGCACACGCTAAAATTAATTAGAATTAGCATATTCAGTGATGCAATAGGCAATTAAAGACTTTTGGAGAGATAAGAAGACAAAAAATGTCAATATTATATATTCAAAATCAGTCTCAAAGCATTTTATAAAAATTTTGGCTTATGTCCAGGATCTAAGGGTGGGGGTGGATATGGTTTCTTCGTAGCAAAAGAGTGGAAAAGAATCTGTTCTATTTCCTTAAAAATAAAAGACATCTTGTTTTATACGGCTTGATAAATGAAATGCTTTTCTATTTTTTACCTGCCAACAGGATCTAGAGGAAATTTTTCTAGCAAGCTATGCTGTTTTTCTCTCTTTGGGGACATGGTGACACCGGTTTTGCAGCAAAACAGTATTTGCTTATTAGGCATTTCTTCAAAATCCTGAATAAGCAGCTCTTTCCACATTTTTTGTTCCACATGTTAAACATTTCACTGCAATTTGAGCTTCAGTTGTGTGTGTGTGTGTGTGTGTGTGTGTGTGTGTGTGTGTGTGTGTGTGTTGATAGAAAAGATTGAAAAGGGATGCATAAGAATTCTTCAAGGTTTTTTTGTTTAAAAAATTAATTCCTACAATTACATATTAGAGTCTGTACAGAAGATGATTCCAATTTATTACATACAGCCAAACTAGATCCCATCAATCTTGAGCAGTGGGGGCAGGGAGGTGGTGTTGAAGAAGACATGAAATTTGGTATTTGAATAGATGATATTTAATTTTTGGAAAACATTTCACTCATAAAACAGACAGCACCCTAGTGTCAGCCCTGACCTCCATGATGTCAGTGTCATCATGAAAACGTGCAAACGTAGCTAAGATAAGCCTCAAAGTAAAACAAAGAAACATTGCATCTCAGCACAACACCATTTCTTCTCTTACGGTATGTCCTGTGTATGTATATAGCCTTTTGGTTTCTGGTTAATGGCTTGTTACTTCATCACTTAGCTTTTGGAGGGGGAGAGAGGAGAAAAATTATTCTGCATGTCCTGTGTTCTGAGCAACTACAGTAAGTATGCTGCTGCACATTTTAACATTATTTAGGTCAGTATTCTGAGAATAGCTTTTTATCGTTCATGAGGGTCAGCTATGCATCCAAAGGAATTCAGCATCAATTTATTTTCCTGTACTGATTTTGTTCTGCTCCTATGTTTAAGCAAATTCATTCACAGTTTAATACAATTCTGACAGAGGAGATATCTGCCATTCTGTACTGCAGTACATTTAGCAGGATACATTTACACGGCTTGTGGTTAGAGGTTATAGCACAGATACAGACAGCCGATCATGCATTCTTCTACAAGCCTGCCGGCACCATTTAGAATTTTGAAAAATAATCCAGAAATGCTACCCCCTTTACAATATCATTTTTTACTTTGCAATAGCTTAGCAGTTTTGCTTTTTCATTGCTGTTATCAGCAATTCTATGAAATTAACAGTCTATAAAATGCATCCCCAAACAGATACATACTGTATTGAAAGCTCTCTTCAAGAAGATATGATAGTATTCATTCCAGCTTATTTTCTTCTTTAGCAAAAGGACTGTTTGCCTCTCAGAAGCAGAAGGACACATTGTGCAGCAGCTCTGCTTAAGTGTATGAAATGCCTTCTACTGTCTCGTTGCAGAATTTGGAGTTTGCTAAACAGTGTTTAGTGATTGGGCTCATCTTGCATCACCAGTTGATGACATTTCTCTTTGTTCCCTCCTACCCAGTTGAACCAAGACTCTGAGGCTGATATGCAATGTCACTTACAACATTAATCAGATACTGCATTTAAGGTGAGCTGTCCCTTGCCTCCTCCCTCCCCAATGCTCGTGTGCTGCATGCAGTGCGTATCTTGCTTCTGCGAGCCTAAGATGGCAGGCAGGATTAGCCGCGCTTGTGCTGGGTGTGCATGCTGTGTATAGAATTCATTATACGTTGCCTAGTATTTCAGATGTGAGTATGTAAATGTTCGGTATGCCATATCATCTGGTAGTGAAGACTTGTTTTTGCCTCATTACAGCCTTAGATATTTCAACATCACCTTTCAGTTCTGATTCGTTTGCTTCTGGGTGTTTGCTTTTCATCACATTCAAAATAGGATTTCTCCATTTTTTTCACAAAGCCAAAAAAAAAAAAGAAACCCAACCCTAAAAACAAAAACAACAACAAAACTCTGCTACCAGATGGTGTCTCCCCTTTCTTCTTGCATTTGCTGTCTTTTAAATAATGTATGTTGTATTGTTAATTAATGTGAATATCAAATTAAACACTTGAAACTTACATATTTATTATGCAGGTAGGAGGCAAAGGTGGAACCTATTTTTAACTCTTCTGCACTCCACGGTGTGCAAACGACCCGGTTCTCAAATTTGTATTCTCGGTGCTGGTATCAGTGGTTTGATTTTCAGCAAATGTGACAGTGGCCTTTGCAGTGGTCAGCTCCGGGCATTGAACTCTCAGAGGAGGAAGGGGAAAAAATTCAGCACACCACCTCCTTGGTTGCAGCCACAGAGAAACCTTGGATGAGAAACTTCTTTTTTCAATTCTGTTTTCCTGTTGATAAATTCAGTTCTCGTGATCACAGTACGTTCAAGCTGTTCTGCGTATGATTTGTGTGTGTGTGACAATTGCATCTAAAACTTGTGAGCAAGAAGACGGAGAAATCAGTTGGTCTCCATCGCTTTACATAAAAATGGCTGAATGTCATGCTAGCACTGCATTAAGTGATACATACAGGTAGGTTGAAATTTGCATGTTTTATAGATTCTTTTGAGCCATTGAGCAAGAACAGGAGCTGGATTAAAACATGACTTTTAAAACAAAAATGAAATAAAAACAGTTGTAATGGGGGGAGGTATTAAATTGGGCAGCCTTACCTATTCAGATACTATGTAAATATAGCTTTTATGAACTTATAAAATGATTCTGCTATAAAAGTGAGGTGATTCCTTTAAAAAAAATCATCTATATGATAGGTGTGGCGCCATTAGACAACAAAAGAATTTTTTGAAAAGTCTGTTGATTCAGCTCCATTTTATCTTGAAACTAAAAATACATGGGTTTCTGGAGATAATTTCAAGGAGCGCAAACAAGCTTAATAAGAAACATTTAAAATATTTAAATTTTAAGAAGCGGTCTTTACACGTGTTATATGAAAGATGAAAATCAGAACTTATATGCTTCCAAAATCAATTCTAGGTAATATACAACTACAAATACACTCTTTGTGTATCTATTATTTGGGGAGATAAGGAGTTAAAATTTTGAAAGGGGGAAATAGTAAAAATAGGTGGTCCTGTTAGAAGAGCTTCAGTGAAAGAAACAGAGTCCCTAGAATGGTTCATTGCAGACCATACAGCCGTGGTTCTGTGAGCACCAAATTCTTGCACTTCTCAAAATAATTCATGGGCACTTTCCTTTGAGCTTAACTTCTTAAATATGGTTTAGTTTCAAATTAACACTGGGCCAGAACCTGTTTCCTTGGTAACCACATCTTATTTAAAAATGCAATAACAGATATGCAAAAGATTGCTTAAAAAAAGAAACAAATGTTTGATGAAAATTTTATAGTTCTTTTTCCTCTCATATAGAGCCTGAACTGGTTTTAGACGTTCTTTAAATGCGGTCTCCAAGCCCTAAAAATTAAGCTAAAATTCTACATATATAGAGCAAGCTTGCATAGTGAAAGCTTTTTTTCTTCCTCCTTTGTGCTCAGTACTTTCAAAATTAAGGTTTTCTTTGTAATACGCTCCAGAATACTGGAGGTCAAGGTTTGTGTACAAAGGTGTAGTTTCATTATCACTAGTTCATCAGCGCCACTGAAACAAAAGGTATCTCAAATTCTGAGAATCAGAAAATGCTTATGCTGTTGTTTCTCCCAATGGCTCCATTGGTGATGTCGGAGCTCCCGGTAGAGTAGGACCCAACTCCAAGCCCACCCCCTTCCAGGACAGATGCACGTGGAGCCTTTGTGAAGGCGCCTCTGTAGGCATGTGAGGAGGAGGAGGATGCCAAACCCTAAACCTCCCTGAGGTTTGCTCCAATGCGAAGAACATTGAGAGTCAGAACCATCTGTGTAACTAGTTGCTTTATTCTAACAGTTTGTCTAGTATTCCCCGGCACTGTCTGTCAAATCAGACCTCTTATGGGCTAAAGCTTTGTTCTTGCTGCTGTTGTGTAGTTTGGGGGCCAATGTGAATTAAAATATTGGAGTCTTTCTCTGGCTCAACTGTGTTAGAACGTGATTCATCTCACAGTGATTTCGTTCTTTGGACTTGCCATGCAATATCCTTCCTGCAACAGCTTTTTTTTTTTTTGTTTTTTTGGCTGTTCGGGAGCCATTTTCCTTCTTGCCTATGACTTAAAATGACTAAGTACATTTTGAATATAGCATCAATCAGAAGATCGTAAACTAAAGGGAAATGTCAGAAACTGGCTTCAGTGTTGCTTATTTCTTTTAGTACCAGTAGCATTAACAGTTGCAGTAGGAGCAAGCTAATTGTCATTCGCTCTTGAGCAAATAATGAGCCAGGCATTTGTAATTAAAGTACTATTGCTATTCAGAAAGATTGCAACTACAATGTCTTCTGTTTTGATAGGCCAGTACAAATTAATCATTTTGAACCCATTTGAATCTTAATCACAAGATTAGATGGATGCAATGGAATTGTTTTACATAAAAATGAGTGTCTGATACATTCAACAGTGTATTACTTTATAAAATGTCGATCCTTTTGTTTTAACTCAAGCACGGTTGCATCATCTTGTAGATTTTCATACCTAATGATTTTTTGGGGGCAGTATTCATTTATGTTGCTCTTGGTCTCACCTAAAGGAATTTTAAGCACCATTCAAGGAGCTTGAAAGCCGAATAACTGTTGGGAGGTATATTATAGTATTGTCATTCTAATAAATAGACCAGTGAATGGAAGAATAATTATTATTTATTACTTTGTTGTGTCTTGCCTTAGTGCTCTGCCTTTCTATTTCACAGAAATGTTTACAAGGCACAAAGCTTTGTAAACTTACCCATTTACAATTATTATTGGATTCCCTAGATTAGCCAAAAATACCTCTGCGGGTTGTAGAGGATGGCACTTATTCCCGCATTCTCATTGTTGAAAAGGCTGAGCTTAGCCCATGTACACTTTCTGGCTAAGGTGTTTATACTGAGCAGGCCAGAGCTGGTGCAGCAGGAAGAATGTGCAAGCAATTGCTTTGTTCTCACCAAAACAAAATGGGTAAGTCTGTGGTTTTCTGCCTGAATGAATTATGATATAAAATTCTCAACTTTTTTTGCCTTTGGAGGATAGGAATAAGAGTCAGGGAGAGTACCAAGGTTGCATCTCTTGCAATTATTAGAGTGATGTTGATCTGCCTCAACCATTTCTGTGGATTTCCCCCCACAGAGGGACTGGTAGCCAAGTCATATCTTAGAGCTAGTTAGTGTGGGGAGGAGACTCCAGAAAAAGATTCAGCACCTTTATCTTTAATGCTAAATCATGCTAAACCTTTGAGTTCCTGGGACCATGTCATTTACTATAACATCTCCCTTCCAAGTCAAATGCTGTTCTTAACAGCTTTCTTGGTAATTAAACATTTGACACACTTATTGAGCACCTACTGTATGCCAGGCATATTCCAGGGGCTGGAAATACTTTCCACCATTTGCCTTTGAAAAGACTTAAAAAAAAAGTGATGAACAAGAGAGACCAGGTCCTGCTTCTCATGGACCTGCCTCTAGTGTGGGGGGGGGTGGGGGGGGGGACCAGGAGAAGGCACAAAAGTAAATATGTGAGCAATTAATAAAGGAAAACAAGTACAAAAAGAAAATTAAATTTCAAAAAGCAATGGTGACAAGTTGGGAGGAGAGCCACTTTAAAATGGCAGTGAAAGCCTTCCTGGGGAGGTGACATTTTAGGGAGACCTGCATGGTGAGATGGATCCAGCCAGGTGAGGATCTGATGGAGACCATTGCCAGGCAGAGGACCACTCCCGCCCAGACTGCAGACCATCCTTTTAGTATGTAGCCACCACTGTATCAGAGCCAGGTCTAATGACTTCCTGGGTTGAGCCTTACGTAGCCAAGCTTCTCCTGAAGTGAGAGGCTGGGCCAGGCCCTATGGCTGCTATTAGTCAAATGCACAGGACCTGGTGCCATGTAGTCATTGTCTTTGACTCAGTCCCACCCGGAAACTGCCAAAGAAGGTGCAGCAAAACTCTGGACGTTGCACTTCTAGGGGGTGATGAAATTCTGGCACAGGTTTAGTGCTAACCCAAGAAATTCACAGAAGAAAGGATTCTCGGAGCAAGGAAATTTCTTGGAAGCTGCTTGCTTTATTTTTCATAAGAACTCCAGAATTTGAACTCATGGCAAAACATGGAGTTGGCTGTTTCTTTTAAGTCTTTTCAAAGGCAAATGGTGGAAAGTTCTGTCCCATCTTATGAATAAATTATCTTTGTCCTCTAATGCCTAAAAGGCTTCAGTTCTACAGACCTCTGTCTGTTGGTGGCTTTCTAAAGACCTCACTACTCAGAGTGATATTTCTCTATTTGAGCAAATGATACTAAGAAAATTCTTAATAATCAGAACTCTTTTATGCCTTTTTGGCTAATTTGCTGATGAAGCTCTGAGAACAAAGGCATAGGTTTACTACACAAATTAGAAACTATAAGGCTCTTCCAAGCCTTCTGAACATTTCAGAAGTGCCTTCTAAAATTGATTCATAATTTAGTGGGCTTTGCTTATCACAGGGTAGAGGTAGCTTGGCTGACTCCTTACACTTCATTTAGTTTTGCTGTGAAACATTCCACTGCATGAAGAATGTTCTAGTCCTCTGCCATAGAGTACTGCTCACCAGTGGTAGAGGGAGCTTCAACAATTCAGTTCACCTCTGTATTTGTTGAGCATTAAGAAACACCACTACAACCCAGGCAGAATGGGCTATGACATGAAACTACATATGAAACTTCAGTCCAGATTCCTATACAAGGCTAGAGCATTATATGGACAGACACAATTGTGTGTCTTCTCTGTGCCAGAAAGAAATGAATGGCATTTTGTTCTCTTAACAGCCTTTTATACTGTTTCCTGAGGCCAGCCTTCAGTTTAGGGCCATCTCAGCCATGGCAAGGATGGTTCTGTGTCTCATCTTCATCAACTCCCCAAGATGTCTTGGTTCCTAAGAAGCCACCATGTGTCTAGCTGCCCTGCTCTGAGCCAGTCTGCATCACCAGATGACCTCAGTCACAGCTGCCACTCTCTGCCATTCATAAGCAGATGTTAAGTTGAGAAGCCCTGAATGCAAAAATTTGAATTTGTGATGCAGGCAAGATACTTCTGCTTTTTTTACCTTTGTGGCCAGCAATGGGGATCTTCCTGCTAGCTGTCCTGCAGAAGGCTTTATGGGCAGCACGTAAATCAAAGACCAGTTGCCAAAATCCTTGTCTTTGTTAGGTGATCCCTGCACAGCTCTGCCGGAGCCAAAATGTCTCATTGACCTGAAAATTGCTCTTTTGATCTTGTAGCTCAGTTTGCATCTTTTCCCGTAATGGTTTTGTTGCTGCTGCAGCTATTCTTGCTCAGGGTTTGAGACGAGCTCCTATGTCTACACTCACCATATTTGGCCTGTGGAGGGAGTTTGTATTCTGGTTCTGTTTTGTTTTAAAAATACCAGCGTAAATATTCTTTCTGTGTTTGTGAAGAGCTGTGAGAGCTTTCATGGTTTTCTTTATAT